GACCAAGTTGCGAAAACAAGGTCAAACAACTTCTATACAACGAAAGGAGACTGCGACCACACGAAAGGCCGCACCATCTTGGTCTTCATATCTTCGATCAAACTATGGAAATTATCATTCATACAATGGACTCCGCAATGGGTGCGTTCCTCTTAGTATTCCTACCCGTATGACCAAGTTGCGAAAACTAGGCAAAACTGCTTCCAAGAACTATTTATTCTCGACTGAAGTATTGAAGTAGGACTGAGCCGCCATCCAAAAGAAGGCTACTCAACTTGTCAGCTGGCAGATAATTCTGACTAAATTCACGCCAGTTCAAAATGCATGTCAAACACATCAACCAAGACTGACCTTCCAGACTACGCAATCCCGGGCATGCTGCTTCTTGGGTCATCAAACACTAATGACCCCACACTAGCGGGTTCGGAATGGCGGTTTCGCAACCTGTATTTCACGCATGAAGGCATACATCTCATCAATTCAATTATGGTTATGGATTAACGGATTAACGCCATATCGGTCATGTTTTTTGCTTTGCTCATTAAGCCTTGACGACCCGGGGTTGACGCTAAGATTTTTTTCTAATTACTCTAGATTTTGGCCGGTCTTACGTAAATACTCTGACATATGTACACACACAGACACATTTAAGTATAAGTGAATTAGTATATGTGAAGTAAAGTTGGATTTTGATGAATTTCTTGTTTCATAATTGTTGGGCTTACTTCCATTTCGAGTGAAAGTGTTTGGTGAATAAATTCGAAGCTCGATTTCACCAGAAGACGACGGCGGATTACTCTTGAAAAGCTGTCGATTGGCTTTACTGGAACATTTATGATGACGCTGTTTCGGAAGTAATCTCCTTCGATTAAGGTAAAAAGGTCCTAAGCTTTCGTCCTTCATATGACGAATATCATCCAAGCAAGATATCATTGATACAATCAAATTCACTTCACCCAACTCTTTTCCTTAAAATGGAAGTAAGCTCAACAATTAAAAGCTATAGATTCCTCAAAATCCAACTTTTCTTCGCGTACACTCTGATCTAGGACCGATATTTCGTATAGACGTTAACACACATACATACACGCACACACAAACACGTATATACTGAAGCAAAAGTAACAGGAACATTATGAATGGAAATTCAGGTTTTTAATTTTTTTTTGACCTGATTAAGTCTATATAAGAAGTAAGATAGAGCCGGATAGTGTTATTCTTTTAGTGTTAACGTGAGACTTTTACAAGAATGACATCCAGCTCTGATGATTTCCATCGTATGATGGACGCAAGCTCATCCAGTTTTCACCCGAAACGAGGGAGGATGTCTCGGGGACTGCGTCATCTTTAACGTCGTATAAAAGCCAAACGGCTGCAGTACAACGGCATTCAATCGTCCTCTTCTGGTGAGGTCAAACAACGAATCTCTTCTTCATGCACTTTCATTCGGAATGCAAGTCCCCTCAACAACGAAAGACTAGTAGTTTAATTTTCCCACAATCAGTTAAATACGTCTCATCTTTCCATCAACATTTGCGTAGCCTTGCCTCCCAAGAATTAGTCTTATCTAGGATTGAATGCAGTTTCTACCATGTCTGTGTGTCATCTTCACTCCAAACTGCACTCGAACCTGGCTAGTGCAGATGATACTTTCGACATTTTAAGACCACGCCACAAGTTTTTTTTGGGTTACGAGAAACATGTGAATTTCCAGTAAGGCTTGGCCTCTGCCAAATCACATTTTATGCTAGTACTGTCGATGAGACACTTTTTTATTTTGACGTCAATCTCAACTAAACTACTCATATTAATATAAAGTAGGCTTCGAGATTAGAATTTTACGAAAGAAACCAGACTTTA